TTGAGAAAAGATAATATATTGATTTTATCCACCAATGCATGTTTAATTTAAAGTGTGGGATTGAATCATAATGCTGGTTGCTAACGGCAGTACTGTGAACTCTTAGCGTGTCATGGTATATCTAGCTAGCAGGGTGCTTAGAAGGTGCTGGCCTTGTACGACGGCCAACGCACATGGAATGGAGAGATGATAATTCGTGAGCATGGTACTCATGCTTGAGCTTCGTAAACCTTGTGCCTGCACTTGTTTTGTGGCTTATAGCCACGCTTGATTATTTCGTACCTTCTAGCCGTGCTTGGTTACTTACCTTCGTGAATTATGTATCCAAGCTTGTTACTTTATATCTACGCTTGTCAATTGTTCTGATAAAGTCCCGTTGTAATATAAATTTTTAGAAACTTATTGTTTTAAATTTCTTTTTCTATTAAATAAATTATTATTTGATCGTAAATGATTTTATAAGATGAAATTATATAACTCAATTGTAAAGCAAAGGGATAATTTGAAATTTTTTTATTATTTCCTTAAATCAACTTGGTATCTATTTGGTTTATACATTTATATAAGATTGTTCATATTGTGCAAAGTGGTTTCATTATAATAATGGTTATTTTTTGTGGAACTCAAAATTGTTTTATAAATACTTTCTCCCTTTACTTTACTAAAATCTAAATTGGGACATTTTTCCCTAAAAGTTTATTTTTAGTCTTAGATAATATAGCAGACATTGTACGTCCTGCTGACCATTGAGAGACTTTTTGTTGAGCAAGGTGGACATTTGTTTTGTAAATATCTCTTTTTGATGTAATCATGAAATTTATGTATTATTTTTTAAAAATATGGTTAGATACTCCACATTAATTATAGTTAGGGTCCTTAATTATTTGGCTATATACTTTATTTGCTGGCTAAATGGAGCTATGCTCCTGATTTTAGTGATATTCTGCTTATAAAAATTGTATTGCAAAATTTTTGGGAAGTCATATTTATAAAGGAGGTGTTTTTGAAATTCTTACAAAAGTATTAAGGCTTAAGGGATATGTATTTTGTATGTATATCCCATGCCGATTGCTCCTATAATTCAAGGTGTGACAGTTAGATCCACTTCCAAAATAGTGATATTCACCAAAAAGAACATACATGCACATTCATTACTTCCGTTGGACTACATCATAGAACAGAAAGAAAACATAAAATAGATTGAATACCCCAATCACTCCATCTTTGAGGAACAACAGCACCAGACACATATATGTCGTCGTGATGACAAAAATGGTACAAGCTTGACAAGCGCATCCAAGCAACACTTTTCCACTTCCATCATTTTTCCAATTGACAAACGAAAACCCATCCACTTTCTTTCTTCCTCACCTCCCTCCAATTAGCTGTGATTTACCTAGCAACCACATCTAACTTCTCATTTGGTGAAGAGTTCATAATGAAATCTTAGGAACACAAGTCACAACATAATCATCGTTCAGATATACAATTTTTAGAAAATATAACTCAAAATCATCGCCATACAAAATTTAGATGAATTAGTTATATAAATGCGAGTATTAAAAAATCTATACTATATGTTATTTGAAGTGAAGGAAAATTCTTAAAATTTACCTTATAAAGGGACATGGAATTACCAAATATGAGATCAAAAACCTTGTATGAAACAATCTTTAAAGTAATATCTTTCACGATGATCTTTGAGTGTGTCGTGAAAACCATATATTCTGCATCCATAGAATGCTGCTTCATCACCAGTCACTCTTAGCACCACCGTATGCTATGGTGCTTGGTGCTTGGGCCGTGTTCTCAATTTTCATATGATAAAATTTTTAACATATTTTCAAATTAGTTTAGAAAATCCAAAAAGTTAAGTTAGTTGTAAAGTAATATCAAATACAAATTAACTTATTTAATTATTACTCACTGTAAACCTAACGTTGTCAGCAAGAAACTTAGAAGGAAAGACTCCAACAGAGTAACTTTCGGAGGTCCCTCCTCTATAAAATTGGCAATATCATTCCATTCAATAATTGTGTTCAAATATCCTTGACCTTCAAATATCAAATTTGTTTTTCTGTCCTCTATTGCTACCTTGTCTCTATTATTTCCCAAAATTATGATATAATTATTACAAAAGTTTGAATTAATTAATAATTAAAAAAATATTTATCATAACTACATGATAGATAATGAATTAACTTATAAATCCCAAAATCAATAATACTTTGAGAATTTTATCGGGGATCGGTTTAGGAGTTGTCTCCACAACTTTCTTCCCCAAAATCAGTACTTGCAAGAGTCTAACTTCTCTTTAAGCTAGCGACCAAAACAAGACTCACATTGTAGTTCAAAATAATATTAGAATCCCATTGGCCTTGTTTTCCTTGGGTATCCCTTGGTGAGGATGCATCTTGTCCACACTTGTTGCCATAGAAACAAAGTCATGAGTGCCATGAGAACGATACTCTACTTATTTTATATTACTTGTCACAACCTATGCAATTGTGGTGCATACTTTGAGCAATTATATAGAGGATTCCCATGAGTCATGGAGTTAAGAAATGTGAATGAGGGAATGAGAGTGGATGTCTATATAGGGAGGGATGAAGGCTTGAAACATACATCCTTCTGTCACTATTATAAGGCACCTTCTTGAAGGATTCTATGGTTGATCCTTAATCTAAGTCATATAGAAAGTTATTTACTATTATTTTCTAATTGTATCCATGTTGTAAATTTAATTTTATAACTCAGTATATACTGTGCTTCTCTCTCTTCCTATTTTTAATAAGGGTAAAATTAAAAAATTCTTTCATTTTAATAAATATTTAATAAGTTAATTTTCATTCTTTAGTTCCAGTGAAGTATTTTAAAAGCATCTATAATATAAAAGGGATTGGAAGGAGTATATTTTAAATAATTATTACCTAGACATGAACATGCATGTCATTGATAGGGGCAACCAATTGTCAACTCATAATAATCCAAAATCCCATGATGTTATAGCTCACAGAGAATAATATTAATTGAAATAGCCTCACAAGTTTGAATGAAATTCAAAATGATATTAATCAAAATTCATTGTCTTCTCTCAATTCGATAGAGAGGTATTTATAAGAATAGATGTTGACTCTAATTAGGAATCCTAATCATATCAAGACTCTAAAGAAAACCCTAATTTAAAAACCTAATGGACAATTTAAGCCCAAAAACCCATAACAGGGCTAATAGGGACAAAAACACCAACTTAAAAAATACTCAAAAAATAAGTGCAAAAATATATTGAAAATGAAAAAACTGAAATCCAATTACCATAAATGGACTCTAATTGGATTAATTTTCATGTAATACCTTTCATCAACGCATGTAAGTCTTCATTAAGTCTCTTAAGACTCTTCTAAGTACTATTCATGCTTATAAATTCCCATTGCATGTTAGGATATGCATTTGGACTTAAATGTGTAAGATTATGTCCCAATTTGCCTCCTCCAAGTGTATACTTGTTTATTGAGCCTTCAATGTGTTGATTTGGGCTTTCACTATAGCATCCTTAATATAAATCTCTTTATTTGAACTTTCCCCTACTTCGATGACTTGGTTGGAGATAACTTGGTGACATGGCATGCCATGCCACCTAGGACTTTGTTGCCAAATATGCTGTCATTTAAGACTTTGTTGCGACATAAGATACCATCTTGGGTGTCACCTAAGATAACATCTTGAATGCCAACTAAGTTACCACATTGGATCACATCATTTTCAACTAATATCAATCACTTTGTTTAACTGATGTGATTTCTTTAAAGAGTCTTCATATGATAAATTGATTAGTTTGAAAGAAATTTTTTATCAGCATTTTGAAAGCCATTGTAGTAGCACGCTTGCGGCTTATCTTTAAAGTATAAAACATGGGAGGTTTTGAAGACTTCTAAATCGTCATATTAGCCATTTTTCATGTCTTTCAAAACGCCGAGAATAATATATAACCAACTTCTTCAATTCTAAAAATCAAATGATAAATATATTTATCAATATTATACAATTTTATTATTTTTATAGATAATAAATAATATAGCTTATTTCACATTCTGAGTAAAATGTGATGGCAATAAGATTCTAATTATCAATTTATACTGATAATGGTTGGCATTATAACTAGGTTATTTTGCCTGTGGTTCAATTCAACTTTTATATTTTCCCACCTTATGAGTCTGCTAGCTTGAAATTATGCACTTTTGATCATTAATGTGATCCCAAAAATTATAATTTTGAACTTTCCCTGGTTTAATTATTTTCTACTGACGTCAATTGGATTTTAATATGAGCGTACAAGAATTAAATTTAGAAGTGACGCGACGTGTGTTGTTTCAGATTACTTGACCTTATAATCTATTTTGATTACTTTATGGGCTTTTATTAGGCATGTGTGAATTTCTTTTGCATGAATGAAGATATAGTTATGATGTGCTGGTCTTACCGTTACGGCCTTTGCAACGTTGAGATCTAGAATATAATTAAGTATGCTTTACAAACCGAAATTTGTAATTGGAAATTTAATTGTGTTGCCAGTATTCAAATATTCAATTCGTGCACTTGTGGCTGTGGTGCAAGCACAGAGCATAAACAAAATATAAGTACAACATTATCCACACATGATGTAATAGTCGAAAAATTTTGATTTAAAATAATGAATAATAATAATTACATGAATAGATGATGATGATGATGATGATGATTGGATGGATGGATGGATGGATTGATTTATCTGTGATAAGTCATGTCAAAGGTCTATTTTATTAATTTGAGGGCAAATTTAACAAGGCATGGGAAGCTAGTGAAGATAGTGTCAGCCATACAACCAGTAGATCATTAGTTCGAAATTTCCTTGGTGCATGTGAGGTTGAGTTTTACTGTTTTATTAAACGTTCGAAATTACCAATTTGCCCCAGCCTCTCCCATCAGATTTTTTATCCCTCTTCCTTTCTCTTCTCTGGAGCTAGAGGCGCATCAGAGTCGGTGGAGAGAGAAGGCCAGAATCTTCAAATCCTTGCTCCATCCGTCTCCGTCCTTCGCCCTCACCACTGTCGCTCATCTCGTCGCCGGTGACTTTGAGAATGCTGGAATCCCCACAGTGGGTAGCGTAATGATTACCTCGTCCAGCTCTTCCCTGGTCTGCATCATTCTCCCTTCTCTGTCATCTGTGAATGTGTAAGTGTTCCAGCCTTCCTCTCCCTTCTCTTTCGTCTCTCTTCATTCGCTGCTGGTGACTAGAGGAAAACGGTAATCCAGCCTCCTCCTTCGATGGTGCTGTGACGTGCGAGCATTGAGCTTCTCCTTCCCCTATTTTTCACCGTGAATTTCTCTTCCTCCTCCCTCTGTTCGAGCTGCTATGGCTTAAGACAGCAGGTTCTTTCTTCTCCGTTTTCTGTGTTGTTTCTCCTCGCATTGTTGGACTGACTTTATGTGGAGATTTTGAATCCTCTCTCTTGCATGATTTGTGTGTATGGGTGTTAAGTTATTGAGTTTGAAATTCTTTTTCCTTTGTGTTACTGCTGTGTGTGCTGAATAAAGAAAGGAAAAGCTAAATCAAGTTAAAAGATTATTAGTGTTGAGAGCAAGATAATGGTAGTATGGGTTTGATTTTTATTTGAGTTTAAAGTGATTCTTGATTGGATATGTGTTTAATAATATATTTGTTTATGACAAATCTATATGTTGATGTTGAGGATTGTTGGGCAAATGATTAGAGGTCAAGTGACTCCATTGAATGGTTTGAAAATGATGTATGTAAGTGTTTGATAAAAGACCCATGAGAAAATTTTTATCCAATGGAGTAAGTATTAATGACTAACATAATATAGAGAGATTTTAGGGTATAATGGAAATGAAAAACTTTGAGATATTTACGTCATTTGTTATTAAGAAAATGTTGAAAAAGAAAATTGTTTGATTTGAACAAAGGCTATTAAAATTTCTTTATAATTTTTTATATAAGATTTGGAGAAAGAGAAATTTGAAAAGAACTTTAAAAAGTAAAATTAAAGATTTAGGATAGATATTTGATTGAAATTTTAAGGATCATGTTTATTTATTCTTACAATAACCTTGGGACATATATATATATATATATATAATATTTGATGAGAGGTTGAAAAAGAGGAGGTTAAGGCAAGTGGGACAAGTTAGAGTAAAAGTCATCTATTTTCTGCAAGAAGACTTGAAAACTTTGGGTGTTGTTTATATAAATATTCTAAGTGTTTGTGGATTAAACTCAACATGCAATTTTGTTGTGAATGGTGATAGACTGAAGATTTTCTTTTTTATTTCTCTAAATTATCTTGAAGATTTTGGATTTACATAATGTATAAAAGAAATAACAATAATATCTCTTGGGCATTAGGGAATTAAGAAGCGGACAATGTTACAAAAGCAAACTGAGTAGGAGTAATTTACGCACTCAGGAATATATCAAGTAAGTAAATAGTGTCCCAATGATTTGTTAGCAAATTCATTTTTTAAATATTAATTAAGCCTGTTCGCAGGCCACCTGCTCTATTTATGTATATTTTCTTAATAAAAAATTCCTCAAGACAAATGATAGAGTATTTTTGTTCAATCTTCCTTAATGGTTTATGATTTTCATTTTTATTACTAGCTATTGTGTTAGAAATTGTACCTTAGGGCCAATCATTGTACTATGCACATTACTATTTAATGAATTTCTCTTTTGTTATCATAACAATTGCATGTTCAATATGATAACTATATCCCTGGAAAACCTATAATGATTGTCCTAAATGTCCCTGATCGATCATCTCTAAGGGATCTTACATGAGACAAGACTAGTATGACTTTGATTAATTATAGAGATATAAATTAAATTCATAAGCACTTGAAAGAGTACAAGGTGCTGGACCGACCCATGATAAGAAAACTGCATGGTACAAGTCATAAGCTTATCTCATATGTAACTATATCACTAAGCCCTCTGACCTGATATTATCATGGATTCCTACATGATGACCATTGAACTTTGACCTAGTCAAAAGTCACCTTTGATCGGGAGATCATAAAGGCTATGATTGAGTTTAGTGATATTCATGCAGAGGAATATGAGTGGTCAAGATGAAATTTGTCCCTCACATTAAGTGAGAGATATTAGTGGGCCCCTTGATGAGTAAGATTGAGAAAATGTATGGCCGTACTATAATGGAAAGGGTATTTCCATTACTATTGTCAGTCTACGCAGAGATTGAGAAAATAATGGTTAGGTAAAGGAGAATGACAACTCCATGTCTCATACTTGACCGAAATATCATGTGACAAAAGGGATGTGATATGGTTGCATGATAGGTTACATTGGATCATCGATCCCCATGTGAATTGGGTAGTTGCAATGTCTTGCTAGAGGCCACTTGTAACTTGTGGGTTAATAACATAATTAGTCCACTGCCAATTTCATATAGGCCTATAGGGTCACATACAAGAACAATCCAACTTGAGCTATAATGTCCAAGTTCATTGAATCTGAAATATATCTAGATTTAATGAATGTAATATAGGGTGAATGAATTACATATATATATATATATATTTAAATATTTATTTGATAAATATTTATACATATATATATATATATATTTATATATATTTTTTCAAAATATATATATATATATATATCTATATATACATATATATATAAATGTATATGTATATGATATATAAAATTAAATATAGATAATATAATATATATATATATATTTTTTCAAAATATATATGTATATATATATTCTTGTATATATATAATATAATATGTATATGTGATATATATTATATTATATTATCTTATATTATATTATGCTAGTTTTAAATTTAATTTTATGTGATAGATTAAATTTAATAACTAACATGATAAGAGAGAATACTATGTCAGTTTTATAATTTAAATTTATCTTATACTATGTCAGCTTTATAATTTAAATTTATAAGATAAATTTAAATTAGATATAATATTATGGATTAAATTTATGAGATAAATTTAATTAAATTTTCATGAACTTTTAAGTGAAAGACAAAAACCCTTATTTACATACTATATATAGATAAGGACATCCTTATGAAGGTAGAAAGAGTTAGAAAAGTTCTAACGACAAAATACTTTGAGAGCCACGAAACACCCCATAGAAAGAAAAATTAACGTTCAAAGAAGAACGGACGCTGAGAGCACTGGCACGCTGTTCGAATTAGAATGCTGTTTGTGTAGACAATGGTAGAGGGAGTAGATCTATGTTGTTAGCTCTTGAGATCCAAACGTGTGCCAACTTCAAAGAATTAAAAGGTAACTCTTCTATCCACCTTAACTTAAACGAGTTCGTTCGGTCCATATTAGGATAGGAACCTTAAAATTTTAATCTTTCGCTGCACCTTCCTATCTAACAGTGGTATCAGAGCCAGGTTGAATTTTTGTTTAAGTTGGGTTTTAATTGATTATGTTCTTTGAGATTTTCAAAATTTATATGTGATATTTTTGAAATCTACATATATTTTTCATGTGATATTTTTGAAACATATATATATATATATAAACTCATTTTATACATATTCAAATTTATATGAATTTAAATAAATTAATATGATTAATATTTAGCTATATGATGTACATTCTCAATATGACTAATGTTCGTCCATATGATGTGCGTTCTCAATGTTATTATTGTTCGTTCGCATTCTCATATGGTTTAGGTTGGATTGTCAATATGATTGATGAATTCAAAAGGTTTGAGGTAGTAACTCATTTAAAGAGCATAAGTCAAAAGCTTTAGGGAGCACTGCCCCGCAAGGATATGAGGTAGTAGGACCGTCGTGGCTAACTCTACGTAGCACAACCTAATTCACAATTTATAACCTTTCATTATATATGAATTGTTTATTTGTTGTGTTTTCTTCAGCTTGAAGCTGTTTGGGTATGGTGACACATATGGCTCTAGTTTTACAAGGGTTGTAAATTTTAAATATGATCGCATGTCGTGCCTCTCTCTATAAACTCTGAATGTAAATTCTCTTCTCATCTCAATCCCCTTATATGAATAAATGAGGTTTCTTGATGTAATTTATCTTCTTAGAGAGGTCCTTTCATTGGCTTGGAATGGACATAGGTTAGGTGAGCTATATTGTGACACGCTTAATTATGCTTTTGATTATATCATAATATGCATGATTTTATACGAGATACAACCGTTTTCACTTTACACATTTATTAAATTAATAAATTAAACCCTTTAATCAAAATCTTAAGTCATAATGCCATCAATGAATGCATACTTATCAAAATCTAGATCACTCAAATGTAGGATCCACTAAAATGGATACATTTAGGTTATCTTGGTGAGACAAGTGTGAGTAATAGTGCTACTCACAAAGATTTATTATTGTCTGACTTCATTAAGATTATCAAAACAGTTTTGGATCTTAAGGCATTAGATGAGATTGAACATGTCGGATCATATAATGATTGAATCCCAAAAAGATCTAAGAGTTACATGTGATGTAATTGGTAAATGAATTACCTACCTAAATAACTTAATTTTAAGTGTCCTGCCAAAGCGGACTTAAGTTTACGTGAAATATGGGTCTTAGCCCACTAATCAAATTTGAGGGTTGTTAGTTTTAGTGGGAAATATAAAATTAACTTAGTATATTTTATTGTAGAATCATATCGACTTGTAACATTACTATATTATCATTACAATCAGTCCTTGAGAAGGACAAACTCAATGGGATGAACTTTCTTGACTGGTTCAAGAACTTGAGAATTGTTCTCAAGCAGGAAAGAAAGGCTTGTGTCCTGGATGAAGCCATTCCTGAGGAGCCTGCAGCCAACACTCCTAGAGCTCAAAGGGATGCTTACACAAAGCACACTAATGACTCAGTAGATGTAGGATGCCAAATGCTAGCTACCATAGTTCTAGAACTTCAAAGAGATTTAAAACACATGGAGACTTATGAGATGATTGTACATCTCAAGGAAATGTTCCAGTAATAGGCAAGGCAAGAGATGTATGAGACCACAAAGGCCTTGCACTCCTGCAAGATGGCTTAAGGCGCATCAATTAGCACTCATGTTTTAAAGATGGAAAGCTATATTAATGACCTTTAGAGGCTCAAATTTCCTTAAGCCAGGAGTTGGCTACAGATTTGATCTTGAACTCACTCTCAGAAAGTTATGACCAGTTTGTTATGAACTACAACATAAATGACATGGTGAAATTCATTTTTGAACTACATAGGATGCTTAAAACTACTGATTAAAACATTAAGAAAAAGCCTAGCACTATTTTGATGGTTCAAAAAGGAAAGGGTATGAAAAAGAAAGGTAAAGGAAAGGGCAAGGAAAAGGGTAAAGGCTCATATGGTAAGACCAAAGAGTCAAACAAGCCTAAAACCAAGCCTCCAGCAAAGCAAAGCCTCCAAAGGAAGGATTTTGCTTCTTTTATAATGAACTGGGTCATTGGAAGAGGAACTGCAAGCTCTACCTAGAAGATTTAAAAAAGAAGAAGGATAGTGGGGCTACTCCTTCAGGTATTTATGTTATAGATATTCACCTTTACTTCTTCTGTATGGGTATTAGATATTGCATGTGATTCTCACATTTGTACAAATGTGCAGGGTTTCAGACACAGTAGAAAGTTGATGAAGGGCAAAGTGGACCTACGAGTTGGAAACAGAGCAAGAGTTACTGCTTTAGCTATAGATACTTATGAATTACTTTTGCCCAGTGGGCTTTTGCTAGTTTTGAACAATTTCTATTATGTTCCTACTTTGAGTGGCAACATTGTTTCTCTTTCTTATTTGGATAAGGAAGGTTTTACTTCTATTACTAGGAATAGTAAATGTTCTATTATCGAAATGACATTTTTTATGCTAATGGTGATTTGTATTTTGGTCATTATCTTTTAAATCTGGAACATCCTAGTAATAAAGACATCTATAACGTAACTACCAAAAGAATCAAATTGAACGATTTAAATCCAACCTATCTATGGCATTGTTGTCTCAACCATATAAATGAGAAACACATTTTTAAGCTCCATCAAGATGGACTTCTCAACTCATTTGATTTTTAATCTTGTGACACTTGCGAATCTTGTTTATTAGGAAAGATGATGAAAGAACCTTTTATTGGGCATGGTGAGAGGGCTAATGACTTACTGGAACTTATACATACAGATGTATGTGGACCAATGAGCATAGTTGCTAGAGGGGGTTATCTGTACTTTATTACCTTTATTGATGACTGCAGTAGATATGGATATATCTACCTAATGAAACATAAATTCGAATCTTTTGAAATGTTCAAAATATTCTAAAATGAAGTACAAAACCAACTTGGCAAGACTATTAAAACTCTTTGATTTGATCGAGGAGGTGAATACTTGAGCCAAGAATTCATTGATCATCTCGGGAGTTATAGGATAGTCTCACAATTAACTCCTCCAACAATACCACAATGGAATGGTGTTTCTGAGTGGAGAAATTAGACACTATTAGATGTAGTTCAATCCATGATGAGTCAAGTAGATCTTCAACCATCCTTTTGGGGTCATACACTAAAAATAGCTACGTTCACACTGAACTATGTTCCATCTAAGGAAATTGAGAAGACATCATATGAGATATAAACTGGAAAGAAACTTAGTTTGTCTTTTCTTAAGATTTGGGGAATCAAGGTTTATATTAAGAAACAAGCCTCAGACAAGTTAGCACCCAAATCCACAAAGTGCCTTTTTATCGGGTATCTTAAAGAAACAAGGGGATACCATGTCTACAATCCCACCAAAAACAAAGTATTTGTAATTCAAAATGGTATCTTTCTAGAAAGAGAATTTATCTATAAAATAACTAGTGGGAGAAAAATACATCTTGAAGAAATTCAAGAACCACAAAATAGTATAAAGTCACAAATGGAAAATTGAAAAGACTCACAAGAAGTAAATGAGCCTACTTAAATAACATAAGGCCTATGAAGGTCTGATAAGACACGGCATCATCCTCAGAGATATGGATTTTTGATTAATGAATGTCGTGATGTATTGCTCATTGAACAAAATGAACTAACTACCTACCAAGAAGCCATAGTAGGACTAAATTCTAAGAAATGGCTAAATGCCATGAAGTTTGAAATGCAAGCCATGTACGATAATAAGGTATGGACCTTAATCGATCCACCTCAGGGAATAAAAACCATCAGATGTAAGTGGGTTTTTAAGGAGAAAACTAACATGGATGGCAAAGTAAATGCTTTCAAGGCACGATTAGTTGCAAAAGGATTTACCCAAACTCATGGTGTAGACTATGATGAAACCTTTTCACCAGTCGCAATGGCCAAATCAATCAAAAATCCTCCTTGCCATTGCAGCATATTATGACTATGAAATATGGCAGATGGATGTTAAAACAGCATTCCTTAATGGACGTCTACTTGAAGAAGTGGACATGATACAACCTGAAGGTTTTGTGCGTCCAGAGGACTCTAAAAAGGTATGCAAGCTTTAAAGATCCATTTATAGATCGAAGCAAGCATCTCGGAGCTAGAATCAACATTTTGATGTAGTAATCAAAGAGTTTGGATTCATTTAAAATATTGATGAACCTTGTGTATATAAAAAGATTAATGGCAGCACAGTTATATTTCTAGTACTATATGTAGTTGATATCCTACTCATTAGGAATGACATTCCTACCTTACAGAATGTCAAGTCTTGGTTAGGAAAATCTTTCTCTATGAAAGACTTAGGTGAAGCCACTTACATCCTTGGGATTAAGATCTATAGAGATAGATCCAAAAAGCTGATAGGCCTAAGTCAAATCACATACATAGACAAGATATTGTATAGGTTCAGTATGCAAGATTTAAAAAGGGGTTTCATCCCCATGTCTCATGGCATTCATCTCAGCAAAGACCAGTATCCAAGTACACAAAATCAGCGAGGTCGCATAACTAAGGTTTTATATACCTCGATAATTGGATCTATCATGTATGCTATGCTGTGCACTTGACTGGATGTTTCATTTGCCTTAGGTACGACTAGCAGATCCAAGAGAGGGTCATTGGACTGCTGTCAAGAATATCCTAAAGTACTTAAAAAAGACTAAGGATTTATTCTTAGTATATGGCAAATTGGATGACCAGCTAATTGTAACAGGTTATACAGATGCAAGCTTCCAAACTGACCAGGATGATCGTAAATCACAATCAGGATATGTGTTCACCTTAAATGGTAGGGCAGTGAGCTGGAAGAGCTCAAAGCAGAGCACAATAATTGATTCTGTAACAGAAGTTGAGTATATAGCAGCATCAAATGTAGCTAAGGAAGTTGCTTGGATCAGGAAGTTCATTGCTAAACTAGGAGTGCCTAGCATCTCAGATCCAAGAAACTTGTTCTGTGACAATAGCGGTGCAATTACACAAAGCAAGGAGCTAAGGTCACACAAAAAAACCAAGCATATACTCAAGCGTTTCCACCATATCAGAGAGATCAATGATAGAGGTGATATAAAAATATGCAAAGTAACAGGAGAAGACAATGTCGCTGATCCTCTTACAAAGCCTCTTGCACAGGCGAAGCATGAGCGTCATGTCAGGACACTAGGAATTAGACAAATTAATAATTGTACCAAGTGCAAGTGGGAGGATATTGAAAATTGTGCCTTAAGCCAATCATTGTACTATTCACATTGTTATTTAGTGAATTTCTCTTTTGTTATCATAATAATTGCATGTTCAATATGATAACTGTATCCTTGAACAAACTATAGTGATTGTCTTAAATGTCCCTAGTCAGTCATCTTTGAGGAATCATATATGAGACAAGACTAGTATGAGTTTGATTAATTATAGAGATACAAATTAAAGTCATAGGCACTTGAAAGAGTACAAGGTGCTGGATCGACCCGCTATAAGAAAGTTACATGGTATAAGTTATAAGCTTATCTCATATGTAACTATATCACTAAGCCCTTTGACCTGATATCATCATGGATTCCTACATGATGACCATTGAACTTTGACCTAGTCAAAAGTCACCTTTGACTAGGTGATCATAAAGGCTATGATTGAGTTTAGTGATATTCATGTAGAGGAATATGAGTGGTCAAGATGAAATTTGTCCCTCACATTAAGTGAGAGATATTAGTGGGCCCCTTGATGAGTAAGACTGAGAAAATATATGGCCATACTACAATGAAAAGGGTTTTTCCATTACTATTGTCAGTCTACTCAGAGATCGAGAAAGTAACGGTCAGGTAAAGGAGAATGACAACTCCATGTCTCACACTTGACCGAAATATTACGTGACAAAAGGGATATGATATGGTTGCATGATAGGTTACATTGGATTATCGATTCCCATGTGAATTGGATAGTTGCAATGTCTTACTAGAGACCACTTGTAACTTCTGGGTTAATAACGTAATTAGCCCACTACCAATTTCATATGAGCCTATAGGGTCATATACAAGAACAGTCCAACTCGAGCTATAATGTCCAAGTTCCTTGAATCTGGAATATATCTAGATTCAATGAATATAATATAGGGTGAATGAATTATATATATATATATATATTGAATATTTATTTGATAAATATATATATTTATATGAAATATAAAATATAAAATATAATTATATATATATTTTTTCAAAATATATATATCCATAAATGTATATATATATCATATTGATATATATATATATATATGATATATGTATATGATATAAAAAATCAAATATAGATTATATAATATATATATATATATATTTAAAATATATATGTGTGTGTATATATATATATTTGTATATATATATTATAATATGTATATGTGATATATATTATATTATATTATATTATATTATGTTAGTTTTAAATTTAATTTTATATGATAGATTAAATTTAATAACTAGCATGGTAAGAAAGAATATTATGTCAGTTTTATAATTTGAATTTATAAGATAAATTTGAATTAGTTATGATATTATGAATTAAATTTATGAGATAAATTTAATTAAATTTTCGTGAGCTTTTAAATAGAAGACGAAAACCCTTATCTACATACTATATATAGATAAGGATGTTCTTATGAAGGTAGAAAGAGTTAGAAAAGTTTTGACAGCAAAAACACTTCGAGAGCCACGAAACACCCTATAGAAAGAAAAATTAACATTCAAAGAAGAACAAATGCTGAGAGCGCTAGCATGTTGTTCGAGTTAGAGAGCTATTTGTGTGGATACTGGTAGAGGGAGCATATCTACATTGTCAGCTCCTGAGATCCAAACATGTGCCAACTTTAAAGAATTAAAAGGTAACTCTTCTATCCACCTTGACTTAAACGAGTTCGTTCAGTCCATATCAGGAAAGGGACTTTAAAATTTTAATCTTCTGCTACACTTCCCTATCCAACATATTACACTTAGAATTGTCTTCATTATAATAGATTTTATAGAAAGAGTTAGAACTATAATTTTTCAAATGAATATTTGAAAATGATTGCTATATTTGATAAAATTCAATTTACATACGTAAGGGATGACTAACTATTATAATTCATGCATGGGATTTATATATACAGATGCATTCATTTATGTTGAGTTTGATGAGTAATTTTAAAAAGAGATAATACGTTAATTTTAGATCCATGCATGCTTGATTTGAAGTGTAGGATTAAATCAGATTGCTGGTTGTTAATGGCAGACCCATTAAACTTGGCACACTATGGTACATCTAGCTAGCAAAGTGTTTATTGGAGGTACTGGACCTGTACGAAGGCCAACATATGTGGAATGGAGGGATGGTACTTCATGAGCACTGTACTCACACTTGTTTTCATAGGCCTTGTGCCTATGCATATTTCGTGGCTTTTTGTTGCATTTGTTTCGTGGCCTTCTGCTGCTTACTTACCCTCGTGAACTATATCAATGCTTGTTAGTTATTTATTCTTGTGGACTATGTGTTTAAGTTTATAAATTGTTCTAATCAAATCATACTAAAGAATAGATTTTGAAACATAAGTTTTCTTACATTTGATCTTTAAATCAAACTATTATTTTTACCATATTTGGATTTTATATGGAGTTGAATAATATAATATCCTCCTCCTTTTAATTCCATAATTCAATCCAAGTCTCAAGTAATTAGGAAATGAGATTATAATAATCTTTAAAATACAAAATTCTCATTAGTTAACAAAATAGGGACCCTAAGTTTATAAAACTAAATCATTTTTAAGTTTGCAATCAGACAAAGGAAAGTTCACAATTATGCAGAAGTAAAAGATCATTACATAAGTGAGTGCATTTGTTTAAGAATTTGAAACAAGAGAAATTCAGAAAAATTTTAAGGGATGCGTCATGGCTTGTTGAACATGCGCCGCAATGTGTTTGCCTCTGTAACACATGCCATGGCTCGTGACACCATGTGCCATGATGCAATTGCATGAATTTTGATAGTGAATTCTGTTGTCAATTTTCACAGCATTAAGGCCAATTTTTAACGCACCCTAAATCTCTGTTCGACGTATAGATGATGCGAATTAGGTGTCTATAGAAAGCTCTTTTCGAGCTCTAACTAATGGCATTGGTTTCAAACTCAAATTTTTCTTAAAATAAAAATTAGATACTCTTTTCAAAACTTACACTTTTGCAATAGATTTCACAACTTCAAGTGTCTAAATCAAATACCAAGGGACTAATAGCCACCCACACTAATATGACCATGCACCTATTTTGTCAAGTGAAACACTTGGATATATATTCGATCACATCACGCTTCATACCATGCCACCACTAATACTTCTTCATATCTTGGTACATCTTGGTAGCACCAGGGTAAATGGTAAACTTGATCCAGTGAGCTTCTGATAGTATGGTGTCTTTAATCTCCTTAATGTTAGGAATACAAACACAATCATGATACACCACGAAACCATCATCATTGAAATTGAACTCTGAAGTCCATTTCTCTTCAATATTCTTTTAGACTTCTAGCAAATATGGATTTTTCAATTGTGCTTCTCGCATTCCAAAACTCATTAGTAATCACCATGGTATTCAAATTAAGCATAGCAAAACAGGCACATTTTAATGTATACTAGAGAAATCCTCTAGTAGTTTCTGTTCATGTATCATCATACAAGCCATGTGTATTGTCTTCCTACTCAATGCATGGGCCACTACGTTGGCCTTACCTGGATGGTATTTCAACTTAAAATTGTAATCTTTCAAAAATTCCATCCATCTCTATTGTCTTGTGTTCAACTCTTTCTGGTCAATCAGATATTTGAGACTCTTATGGTCACTAAACACTTCAAACTATGAATCATATAGATAATGCCTCTAAATTTTTTGAGCAAAAACAATACCTGCTAACTCAAGGTCATAAGTAGGGTAATTTTTTTCATGTGGTCTCAATTGTCTAGATGCATAAGCTACAACCTTGTCATCTTGCATCAGTACACATCCCAATCCCTTAAGTGAAGCATTGGTATACATTATGTATGACTACTTTGGATTCAGAATTGTTAACACTGGCACTATAGTCAACTTCTCCTTTAGCATCTGAAATGCTACTTCATACTTCTCAGTCCATACAAACTACTGATCCTTCTTTGTCAGCTTAGTCAAAACAGAGGTTATTTGAGAAAACCCCTAAATGAACCTCCTTTAGTAACTGGCTAACCCCAAGAAACTCCTTATCTCCATTACTGAGGTAGGTCTCTCCCATTTCAGGACTGCATCAACCTTATGAGGATCTACATATATAACATCAGTGGATATTACATGACCGAGAAATTTTACTTCTCGAAGTCAGAATTCACACTTGCTTAATTTTGCATATAGCTTATGCTCTTTCAACACTTGCAACACAATTCTTAAATGCTTAGCATGTTCTTCTTCATCCTTAGAGTAGACCAGAATATCATCAATTAACACCACTATGAATTTATCCAAGTTGGGTCTAAAAATCCTGTTTATATAATGCACATTTATCAATCCAAAAGGCATCACTAAGAATTTGTAATGCTCGTATCTCATTTTGAAAGTGATTTTGGGTACATCCTCAAACTTCACCCTCAGTTGATAGTAACCAGATCTCAAGTCAATCTTGGAAAACATGGCTGCTCCGACAAGCTGGTTAAGCAAATCATCTATCCAGGGCAATAGGTATTTAGTCTTGATTGTTACCTTATTCAACTGTCGGTAATCAATACACAACCTTAGGCTTCCATCCTTTTTTTTAGAAACAGTACAGGCGAATCCTAAGGGGATATACTTGGCCTAATGAATCCTTCCTCCAGCAGTTCCTCCAATTGCTTCTTCAACTCTTCTAGTTTAGTTGGAGCCATACAGTAAGGAACCTTAGAGATGGGTTTAGTTCCTAACACCAGGTCAATAGAGAACTCAATCTCCCTTTTTGGTGGTAAGCCAAACATCTCTTCAGCAAACATAGAAAGGGCAAAGCAAACTAGGTGTCTACAGAAAGCTCTATTCGAGCTCTAACTAATGGCATTAGTTTCATACTCAAATTTTTCTTAAAACAAAAATTGGACACTTTTTTCAAAACTTACACTTTTGCAATAGATTTCACAACTTCAAGTATCCAAACCAAATACCAAGGACCAATAGTCACCTACACCAATATGGCCATATACAAATAATCAAAACCAACTCATACAATGCACCATAACACAAGGAATATTTTCAGATTAAATTTTCACCACTCCACCCCTTAAGCTCAAAAACATAGAAAGGGAGAGTTTACTATAATTTTTATCAAGTTCTCCTAGATTATCACATAATTTTCTCTACCCTCACTTGCATTACTATTTTGGCCCTATCACCATAACACATAATCATCAACTCCCTCTTTAGGGCACAAAATACCATTATAATTTACATTTCACATAATGCAAGTAAGTAACAAAAGAGAAATCTTAGTTGGCAATTGAAATTGTCATACACATAAGTTTACTCAAAATAAGGAGGCCTACTACAAGGGATCATGATCCTAAACCTCTGGCTGTTTTTCTTTGTCCATACCTCTTGAGCTATTCCTTGTAATATTGAAGATGATAGGGTAAGCACAACTACTCAGTAACTAAGGTCCAACTAACCCATACTAATGCATGTCAGTTAGTTTAAATGCAAGTGGTAGTTAATATTAATACTTTAACCCATGTGAAACAATTAAAATTAGATATTCACAATTCAGCTCACATAATAGCATTTACTTGGGAAATAGTGCTTTTAGTACTTTTTATATAGGAGAGTTGGTCACACAAATCATTGACAAACATAATGGCCGAAATTAAGACTCAACTCAAAATGTCATCATTATGGACTCAATATAGACATCAAATGCCTTTATTCACTATATGTATAATCACACCTCCCTTATATCCTCATTATTTTTCTAACACAAAACTGTGGGCTATAGTTTAATGGGATAGTTTATATTCCTTGACTTCCCTAGCCTAAACACTTGTGAGGGGATTACCCAGCCATGGCATACCCAACTTACTTATGGAACACAATTTCTTCCATTTCTCACACTATGGGTTGTCATACACCCTAAACTAGCTTCCTCATTAAACTGGTAGATAGCTAGCGAGGTTCGAGTCCCTCGTTGAACTAGTGGGACAATATGGATAGAATTAATCTAGGTGAATCATCACATGGATGGGCCTTACCATGTGGATTTTATCATCTACTTCGTTTCCTCGGCAAACTCCTGCCTCTTAAGATCATGCCATGCACATTCATGCCATAACTCACACATATATAGTTCATAGAATTTCACATATTAATTTTCATTGAACTTCATCATTACACAATCATTGAACTTCTCAATCATATTTCATGGAACTTCAAAACAAATAAGTTGTTAAACTCTAATTTTACAATCATTATACTTCACACTATCAAAATTATTAAACTCCACTATTTTAAAATATCATTGAACTTTACTTAAATAAAGATTTATGTTACTTCTCAATTTGCAAAATTATTGAACTCCCAATAAACATTAATACAAAAATCCATTACTATTATTTTCAAGGAAATTTTACACCACAAAGCATAAAACTCACAAATTAGATCTAGTGGATTTCCTAACAAATTAAGCCACACTTTCATTTCTTTTTATTTTACACATTTCAATGATAAATCATAAATCAATAAACTAATAAACATGCAGAAGCATAAGGTAGAACTTTTTCGATTACCTCAAACACCTCAACTACTCACTCTTGAAGCTTCCAAGAAGTTTGAATGGTGCCAATGACAGTTACACTATAAGCATTTACCGTGAAAAATATCAATATCCATTTTTGAACTATTTTTCATGAACATTTCATCATTTCTTAATACTCAAGATTTATTCTTGACTCATGTAAGAATACCCATAAGGCTTCTTAGCTTTCTTTAACTCTCATTAGTAACATTGAGCTCTTAAATGGCCATTAATGCAACTACATTATTCCCAACTATCTAATTTATGAGAATTTAGGACATTTAATGTCCTCTAACCACCAATCATCATAAAACCATAAATACCAAGTTTACTTAGCTCAATCTACTCCCATTAATTCTATTTAAGTCAATGGGTTTGGACCCATAACTTTTATGGACTGAAAATCACCATTAACAATCAAACCCTAATCTCTACCATCAAGAAAATGGAAGAAGAGAGGAAGATTTAAGTAAGGATGCTTATCTTTGGTGTCTATGAGTTCCAACTTACTCCCAATAATCAATTTCTTCAAGCCCTAGCTCAACTCTTTTGTCACTTTCTCGGTTCCCTTTGTTTCCTCTCCTTTTCTACTTCAGGTTCGCAACTTAATACTACAAAATTCTAACCATGTGCTGCGACAAATGCACAATGCACCACGGCACGTGGCACAGAGAGCCTCTTCCAAGCGTGTTGTTAGGCATGCACCATGGCAGACCAACCATAAGCCGCAGCATGTGGCATAAAATCACTTCCTTTAGAAATTATACTTCTTTCATTCTTAGGTGACCCGATTCTCCTTCGAACCCACGTTTAAAACTAAAATTGAGACCAAACATGCTTGTTAGGCCTCTCTGGCCACACACCTCACAAATAAACTTAATTAGTATATTTGAATTTAATTAATCTTGATTTAAAATTGAGAATGTTACAAATAATTTTTGAAGTGTTTAAATATATGTTGATTTTTAAATGGAATTTCAATTTCTAATAAATTTTAATTGAATTCATGTATTCATGGTTTTTATATTTACATAACTGTTGACATGTACGTATGAAGTATGTGCTTATATTAATTTCAATCAATTATTTCGCTAAGTTATAAAAGACTCATTGATGTACTTTTCATTATTTTTGTTTACCATAAATTGAGACATTATTCATTGGAAACTATTGGTCTCAGATATTATAGCTGTTCTTGTACCTTCAATAGATCCTTAAAGGGTTTAATGCTAGGTTGAAGTTGAAGCATTATTTTGGTTAATCTCCATTTATTGTAAAGCCTGAATTTATATATTATGTTTTGCGAATCTCATCTTAAATGCTTCGCATAAACTACAATTAGGATCATTGTTTACTACCTATATTGTTGGTCTGCTAGTAGGAGCTAAACTCTCTATTGTTATTTTGTTGTAATAACAACGTTGTAGAACTTTTGAAAAATCCTATTTTTAGCGGAAGTTTTGTCAAAATTTTTATGGAAACTTTTGAACTTTTTTTGTTTGTATGGAAGTGTTATGGAAGTGTTATAGTGATTCTCCAATCCTATTTCAAGTGATTTAAGATATTAAATTATAATTTTGATAATCAAGGTTTAAAGAATGTATATTGTGCATCTATCCTTTGTCAGTCATGTCTTTTTTTTTTTTTTTTGAGATGTGACATGTGAATTATAAGTGTGCTCAAAAACTATAAAGTTATCCACTTTTTATGTTTCAAAGGGTTTTTAAATAAAGACAATGCATGTATATTTAATGGTGAAATAAATTGTTCATATATTAATTATGCAATAGAGTCTAGATCAAGTGGTTTTAATAAGATCTTAATTAGAATTCATTCAGTTAAGATATCAACTTTTGAAAAGCATTTGAAATCATAAACTCATTTTTTGTGCAATATTTTTCTTCAAGTTCTGGAGATAGTGCAATTTATTTCCTATTTTTTTAAAAAAGTTAACTTTGAGTACTTTGAGTTGACAAGAAAAGATAGAAAAAGATTCCAAAAATTACAGAAAGGGATAAGCCAAAACAACAAAAAGTAATAGATATATGCATTAAACTTACAATAAGGAAACACATTCTCTAGGATTTGAATTTAAACGCAACTATTTTAACAAAACAAACTATATTAGGATAACTCCTAGAACGCAAAACTGTTATTCATTCAAATGCTAAGTTAGATAGTGTCCTCGTAGAAGTACCTTCTTCACTAATCGTTTTATCAGCAGCTTCCTTAAACACTAGAATTCTCCTTCGAAGTTCTCTGCCTTCCTCACCTTCCATTACTATTTTCACAACTCTAGCAACTTCATCTCTTTCAACTATCCCATTATTCTTATTCTCATCACCTTTTGGCCTCACTGCAACCTTAAAATGCCCAGTTAACATCACTGCATTCATCCTCTGCTCTGCAAATAGTGGCCACACAATCATTGGCTTGCCATTGACTATAGCCTCAAGCACGGAATTCCAACCACAATGAGTCAAGAACCCGCCTATAGACCCATGTCTTAGAACTTCGATTTGTGGGGCCCATGATGGGACCATATAGCCTTGACCCTTGGTTCGATCTATGAACCCTTTTGGCAAGTAGTCAAATGGATTTTCCTTCTGCGCACACAGATAAGCTGAACTAGGAGACGCACTTGGAGCCCTAATGACCCACAAGAACTTGTGGCCACTCATCTCTAACCCCAAGGCTAGTTCATGAAGTTGGTCATGTGACAATGTTCCCCCACTACCAAAAGAGACATACAATACTGAGTTTCGTGGCTGATTTTCCAACCATGTTAAACATTCTGATGAGTTTGTGTTGTTTTTGTTAGTTGACACCGTCTGTAAAATTGGCCCTACTGGGTAAAGCAAAGGGTATTTGTTGTTGTTGCTTTCTTGTAAAGCTGTTATTGCCTCTCGTTCCAGATCAACGAAGCTATTCACTATGATACCATCTGCAAAACGTAGTTGTTTGCTTGCATGAAGGAATGTTCTGTAGGATTCACTTGATCTTTCTTGAACTGGACCTGGCAGATCCTTTCCTTGAAAAGTTACACAACCTACAGGAATTTTCAGAAGTCAATTATATTCTTTTCAATCTATATTATATCCCAAATTCTCATTATCATAAGTTCACATGACCAAATATCCATTTAACATAACAATATTGTTTTGGCTTAAGCAATGACCTTATGACAACAATGATAATTTTTTTTTTGGTAATAAAAGACTGTATTAATTACTACCATATCAAAAAACTAAATGTACCAAATATTAAAATCAGATATACAATTGAATAAATTACAGACCTTACAACGGTTATCTATAATCTATGTAATTTTATGTTTTGAAATTGTTCAACATTCAATTTCCAGAAAATACTATTGAAACAAGAGGACAAAATATTCTTATGAAGTTTTAAATTTCTCTTTGGTTTGGAAAAAAATTAATTAATAAGAAATATCTAAGAGCATAAACAAAATAGAAAAGTATAACGCATATACATAAACAAAAACTTCCATCCGTGAATTATAAGTGGGTTCAAAAACTATTAAGTTATCCACTTTTCATGTTTCAATGAGTTTTTAAATAAGACAACACATATATATTTAATGGTGAAATAAATTTTTTATAATAATTATGTAGTAGAAGCCTAGATCTAGTGCTTTTAATAAGATCTTAATTAGAGTTCATTCAATTAAAATATAAAAGAATAAATGTTCAGTCCATGAATATAACCGACTTTAATTATTAAGATAAAAAAGGAACAGTACAAATGCTTATCTCTATACTTTTGGCATGATTTGATATTAATCCCTATATATATATTTTTTGTTATTCATAGTACCTTCAGTTTTGTTACAATAAATATAGGGTCTTTTCACTTGTATTTTATTATTGGTCTCTATTTTTTTTTAATATTTTAGTTCTCTATACTTTTATTTTTTAATATTTTAAATCTCTCCATAAGCAAGGTGTAGGAACTGTAGAGACATAAAGCATTAAAAAATAAAAGTATAAGGATATAAAATATTAAAAAAAATCTAAAGACTAATAGCAAAACTTGAGAAAAATACAGGCGCTCAAAGTTATATTTCTCCTAAATTTTATAATATCTTCTTTGATTTTTGTTTTATGTAAATATTTTATTATTTAATTATTATAAAATTTTAGAATATCTTCACATGAAATAAGCTAAACAAATGGGATTTTAATCACACAACGTGGGATTATCACACATCTAATAACTAGAAGCAAAATATTATATATATATATATATATATATGAAGTCACAGGCACTAATAGTTATAATTTTTTTAAATAAAAAAAGTTTTGCAAGACCTGGAAGTTTCAGAGGCTGTGATAACTCTCGGAAACCTGTAGAAACCATCTCGTGATCCTCGTCAAGCTCTGGAAAACACAGGAAGAAAGACAGTGAAGTTACTGATGAAGGATGAAAAACAAATGACTTGAGGCTGAGTTGCTTTGCTATTTCTAACGCATCTACTGAGAACAAATCAGCAACCACAGCAAAAAGACGAGTTTGGGAACTCATTGAGATTAACTCATGACGAAGAGAAGGAAGAGAGAATTTCACAGTGTTGTGAATCTGCGTCACTGGATCGTTAGTTTTAAGATCCTCCATGTTGATTTGTGGAAGAACAACGAAGTCAATGTGTGGTTGGAGAGATTGGAAGATGGAATAATAATGTGTCGCAGAAGATGAGGAAGGGCCAAGTGGGGTGATGAAGAAGGTGATGTGGAGGTGAGGGTGGTAAACGACGAGTCGTTTGGAAAACTCAATAAGTGGGTGAAGAAGGCTAAAGCCCGGAGATGGAACCATGGCTATGCACGGCTTCTTTCTCTCCATGGAAGAATACTGATAGCTTCGAAGCTCAGAAGATTATTAGTAGACGACAATTTTCTTGATTGATGATGGACGGATCTCTGTTGATGACTACTTGGTTTTTGCTTATGAGTATATATAAGAAAAATTTCAGGATAATATCAATCAAGGGCCACCGAAAGAATTTAATATCTGACAAAAATCTAGACATGATGGATTCTTTTTAAAACAATTTCTTGACTTATCAATTTGTTAATATTTACTTGTAAAAATTTTTATTAAATATTAAATTTTTTCAGAAACCCTTTATTAATATTCTTCCTTTTTTTTTTCTTTTACAAAACTTAATAAAATATATACTAGTATGTGCGCATTGATATGTATATAATATATATACCAATAATAGTTGCTGGTCCACTAGAAGGGACTATAATTGTTTAAGCATGAAAGGTTCAAATTTGTGTAAATGTAAAAAATCCTTTTGAAAGATAATCACTTATGTAACACCCTGATTTTTTTTAAATAAAAAAATTGTTGTAAAATTTAAGTTTTTATTTAAAAAAAAATAATAATAGAAATTTATATTATTTGAGGTTATTTAGAAATAATAATATGGTTAGAAATTTAATTATGAATTAAAAACTTAGGTTTAAAATTATATAAAAAATATTTTGTTAAGATATAATTTTAAGATTTAAAAAAAATTTATGTGTGTGTGAGTTAAAAAAAATAAAATAATAAAATAATAAGAAAAGAAAGTAAAAAAGAATGAGGGGAAAGGGTTTAATCTCACATCGGTTAGATATGGGAGAGGAAAAGTTTCCTCAAGTATAAAAAAGAAGCAAGGCGCGCATGGTGAAGCAAAAGGAACATTTATGCAATTTGTAAAAATTGCAATTAATGGCCCAAGATATAATTTGTAACAATTGCAAGTAATGGCCCAAGATGTAATTTGTGAAAATTGCAAGTAATGACCCAAAGGTTTGAATAATTAAATTCAAACCTATAATTTTTTTAATATAATTTTGGGACCACAATCCCATTTTTATATTATTTTTCTCTCTTCCTCTCACGTTGCTCGGCGTCTTCTCGCAATGGGGGATTATTTTCTTTTTCTTCAGGTATGTTCCAACTTTCCTGTTTAGATTAGCATTTAAAAAAATTATTTAAGTACAAAATTAATTTTATAGTTATTTTCTAAATAATATTAGCTTTCTAGTGATATGATTATTTTGTAGAATAGAGTAAATATTTTGATTAGGATTTTTCTGTAGGATAGTTAATCTGATGATATGATGGATTAAAAATATAGATTAAAGCTCTTAGGGATATAATAAATATTATAGAATATTTTCTTGAGGTTGAAACTCATGTTTAAGAATTTTTGAGTTAAACTCTAGATCTATATGGTTGAATTTATGTTGAATATGAGATGTAGGGATGAACCTCTGATTATTAAATGTTTATTTAAGCATGAATAGGTATTTTTGAGGTTATAGAAAGGTGATTTGAGGCTTCAGGATAATTCTAAAATTTTTAATTTATTTTTGGATGAATTTTTAGAATATAGAAGGATGAAATTGTGGTACTAGAAGTGATTTGAGGCTTAAAAATAGTTTATTAGGGTACGAGAATTTTAGAAAAGAATTTGGGAAGTTAAATGAGGCATAAATCTTAAATTAGTGTTAATATGGATTATAGATCTAAGACTTTCTAACTCTTTAAATTAGAGTTATTTATTTTAATGTAAAATTAATATATAGTATTATGAAATAACTATATAGATTGTGTTGACAAAGATAGTGGTGAAAGAGGAGTTGTGAAGGGGAACTTGTTATTCAAGACACAAGGTAACCATTATTAATGTGTTGTGATGGGTGTGTTTGTAAATGGTTATGTGTTGTTTTGTTGTTTGAAAAAATTATAAATGATTGAAAATAAATATTGTATATATACTTGTTTGAAATTATTGCCAAGTGGGTTAAAAATTTATTTTTGTTTATCATGATGAGATATTATTGTTCGGATATATTCCTATTTGGATATTTAAATGATGTATGACTTGTCAGGGTATTTTAATATATGGTGTTAATGAAAATTTCTATTCGGTTAATTACTACCACGTGATAAGCCCTCATTGGACCCAATGAGTGGCATGTCGCTTGGTCCAACTCACCTTTGGCCGGGTGATTTGGCGTCCGAGCATAGCGAAAGGAGGATATAAGGTGTGGTCATGCAAATTAAATACTTGTTCGGTTTGTTTGAAAGTATTATTCGGTTAAATGTTTTGTGTGCCCACTTAGCAATCGCATGATTAGTTACAACCGCATGCATCATTACATATTAATTTTTGGTTACTAGGACTTTTAAGTCTCATTTCCCGTGGTTAATATTTTTACAAGAGCGAGGCCGTCCGAGAAAGCACCAGAGGTGTAACTATGGTGTATGAGACACCATCTTTTACGTTGCCTTTTATTTTGGATTATACAATGTATCTTGTGCCAACTTAGGATATATCTTCTTTGTGAAGCATGTAAACTCTAATCTTTTTTATTAAAAGTATTTATATGACCAAGAGGATTATGTCTGTCCCTCTTGATTTATGATCTGATTTGAATATCATGCCATGAGGATTATGTCTGTCCCTCATGGTTTTAATTGCTTTTTTGGATATTTTAAGACTTGTGTTATGTCTTGGATGTATCATGGTAAGAAAATTTTCTATCATGATAATGGTTTTAATAATTTGCGAAAAATCGGTTTGTATTTTTGAGGGTGTTATAACTTACAATTAAACCTGATAATATTTGAATCTGATCTAATTGAATAGCTACGATGCTATATATATATATATATAAGGAATGTATATAATAAAAATAAAATAATTTTAACTTGTATATCTTGAAAAAAATTAAACATTTATAAAATGCAGCAGTTTTTTACCCACCGAGAATGGAGATTGCCAATAAGGTTTTGTATTTGCGGCGATTTCACAAACTGTTGGCAAAAAGATCTAAGATGAACAAATAAAAATAAAATAAAATCGCACACCACAAGTTGGGATGTAAAACAGTCAGCATCAGGCGATTCCTAAAACAGACGCCAAAGGTAACTTGCATTGTAAGCTATATAAAATTATTAAACAGCCGTCAAGTTTGAAATTTAAAACAGTCAGCATCAGCTGATTTATAATTTGTTTTTTTTGGTTACATAATATAAAATAAAAAAATGACTTACATATAACACATAGTTAATTTAATTTAATTTTTTTAAAATTTTTATATATTTTTAGCCAGTACGATCTTGTGAATATAGATATTATTTTTTGTAAGTGTGCATCTGTCCTTGAATCCCTGTCCCCTCCATATTTTTAAAATGTTAGTATACTTCTTTTTGGGGCCAACCAAAGTTATAAATATAACATCTTATTTATATTAATGGATTGAAAAGTACGAGAGAAGTCATTTTCTCTCTATATTATCTCTTCTCTATCTCTTCATTGCACTTTAATTGATATTAATTATTGCATAACAACACATTAATAATATATTATTTTCTATTAAGAGGTCGTCTGGTTGGAGTAATCATAATTCTTCAAAATTAAAGTTAATTTTTAGAAGGATTCATATAAATTAACATCCCAAGAAATTACCGTATGACCTGCTCGTTTAATATTTTATTTCTTGGGATGAATATATTAATTTTTAATGTTAAAAGCATAACCACGTCTTTGTTTTACATTTACAAGGTTTAATTGTGAAAGATATTTCTGGAATATTAATATAAAATAATTTGGAAATACAATTTACCAAGGTTATGCTTTTAACATATGTTTAAAACAACATTTTACACTGGTTTTGGAATATAATTACATAGAAACAGCTGATGCGCAAACCCATGACATAAACCAGTAAAAAAAAAAAAAAGTTTCTAGAACTTGTGTATAAATTAAAAACATTTTTTTAATTTTTTTTGCTTAGTGCATGCGCTGCAAGTACACAGGTTATGACCGATCTGTCTTAGTACCATGAAAACATGTGAATGATTAGCTTACCTGTTACCCTTTGGAGAATCTAGATAAAATAATACAAAATAAAGTAAGGATCTCAGTTACTTCCAAATGCGGGCAAGTCTACAACCTACTAGATCCCTTTAACCTTCAAAGGTACATTGAAATATGAGTATGTGTGAAAGACCGTAAGTCCGAAAGTTGTGGTACGTGTGAAGACTATGGTTATATATTCATTTATAAATAAAATTAATTAACTATTTTTTATTCTCTCAACTCCTCTTGACCCAATCAATTAAAAGATAGGGAAAATAATTTCTTGGACCAAGTGTTTTGATGATAACAAAATCACAAGAAATGTATTTATTACTTGTGCATATTATAATATCCCAAGGCAAGTGACAAAAACCAAATGTGCACATAAAGAACCTAAAGAGAAATCATCTTAAGCATGCTACATACAAAGAAAAGGAGTGAGAATGAATAAACAAATAATGGAGTCAACATAAGCATGCTACACTTAAGAGAAAGAAGAATCAAGAGAAGAAAGAGAGCCTTCATAGATTGCATTTCTTTTATTCTTTTCTTAGATAAATTTGTGAAAAATAACTTGAGAGCTAGAAACATAATTTAAAGTAAGAATGTATCATATAAAAAAAAGTCATAGGCTCATAAGTCTTTTAACTCAAAAATCACATCCACGAAAGAATAAGATGTATCCATGCGTGTTTGACATATGCTTGCTTGCACTCATAATTCACACTATTCCATCCATGCTTGGACTGTAAGTGTTCCATGCATGTTTGGTCATTCTATGTGCATATAGGACTTAGAGGATCTCATCCAAGCTTGAACCATAATTGGACCTTGCTTAAATTAGAGCATTAACGTAAAGACATAGCACTATACGCTAGTTCACGTTTGCACATCTTTGTGTCCACGCTTGATTGATAGATCAATGTGGAGAAATATCTTGTGTAAGCTTCTATCTCATCCATGAAAGAATAAGATATGTCCATGCGTGTTTAACATATGCTTGCATGCACTCATAATTTACATTGTTCCATCCAAGCTTGGATAAGTGTCACATGTGTGTTTGGTCATTC